GACCCTCCAAAAATCTCTTCACTTCCTCAACAGAATGCGACTGAAATTTTGGTGTATTGCCAAAATTTCAATCGCATGAAAAGCCCAGCTAAAATGAAAGAAATCCACCAGAACATTCTATCTTCTTCTTTTCAAATAATTCTTGGAACTGAAACAAGCTGGGACGAAAGCGTCAGAAGCGAAGAAATTTTTGGAAACAATTTTAATGTATTCCGGCACGACAGGAATGTTCAACTCTGTAATAAAAAGTCTGGTGGTAGAGTGCTCATTGCCATCAATGCTGACTTTACTTCTGAAGAAATCATAACAAATAAGCACAAGGAATTTTAAAATGTCTGGGTCAAAGCACTTATTGCCGGTGAAATACACATTTTTTCTTCTGTGTATTTTCCACCTAAACATGCCCACAAGCAGTCTTTTGAACTATTTTTTTTCAAATTGTTGAAACTATAATGTCAAATATGGAACCAGAAGTAAAACTGCATATTTATGGCGACTTCAATCAACGAAACGCAGACTTTATTACAGACATTGAAAATGAATCATTTTTACTCCCGGTCGTAGGTGAAGACGAAACATTACAATTATTATTCGACAAAATATCTTATTTTGGTCTTAATCAAATAAACCATGTAAAAAATCAACAAAACTAATATTTAGACCTTTTATTTACAAATTGTACTGAAGACTTCTGTGTGGATACATCATTAGCACCTTTATGGAAAAATGAAGTGTTTCACACAGCAATTGAATACTCAATCTTCGTACAAAATTCTTCTTCCTCCAGCGACTGGCAATACGAGGAAGAGCCGGATTACCATAAAGTAAATTACGAAGAAGCCAAACGTAGACTATGTACAATAAATTGGCAAAATTTAATAAGTATTGAAGGAAATGTCGATACTGAAGTAGAAAAATTTCACTCAATTCTTCAAAGCCTAATTTTAGAAACTGTACCATCAAAAAAAAGAAGACGAACACAAAACAATAAACTACCCGCATGGTTCAATCCACAACTGAAAAATTTAAAGAATAAAAAACAGAAAGCTCATAAACTATACAAAAAAGAAAAAACTGAAACCAATTTGCGAAACTATCACAACTTATGCAACCAATTAAATACAGCCATCAACTCTGCATATGAGGACTATAACCGCAAAGTCGAAAATGAAGTCAAATCATGTCCTAAGAACTTTTTTAATTATGTAAACACGAAATTAAAAAGCAGTAATTTTCCTTCGCGAATGAATTTGGATGCAAATGTAGGTGAGAATTCTTCTGAAATTTGCAATCTCTTTGCAAATTTCTTCCAAGAAGTATACACCACATTTTCCGAAGAAGATCGTGACCGCGATTTCTTTGCATTCATTCCTGAAATTTCTAAAAACATCTCTGTCAACCAACTTTCTCAACATGAAGTCCTCAATGCACTAAAAAACTTAAACGCGTCGAAAAGGTCTGGACCTGACGGCATCGCACCCATATTTTTGAAAAACCTTTCTGAAGAACTCGCATTTCCTCTAGAGCGTCTTTTCAACATGTCTCTGAAAAATGGAAAATTCCCTGAAATTTGGAAATCATCTTATTTGGTACCTATTTTCAAATCAGGTGCAAAATCAGACATTCGAAATTATCGTGGAATTGCTATTATTTCTTGCATTCCAAAACTTTTTGAATCAATCGTAAACGGCAATATTTTTCAGCAGGTGAAAAATCTAATTACAAGTAAACAGCACGTCTTTTTTAAAGGTCGCTCAACTACCTCTAATCTTCTAGAATATGTATCTTTCATTATTAAAGCGTTGGACAGTGGCAAGCCCGTTGAAGCGCTATACACCGACTTCAGTAAAGCATTTAACCGCATCGACATACCATTATTAGTCCTCAAATTGCAGAAAATAGGAATGGAGCCTGGACTTTTGAATTGGCTTCAATCATACCTAACACATCGTAAACAAATAGTTCGCTTTCAAAATAAACTTTCAGAACCAATTTCAGTCACCTCTGGGGTACCCCAGGGTTCTCATTTAGGTCCACTTCTTTTTATTTTGTACATAAACGACATTTCCTACATACTTAAAAAAATAAAATTGCTTGTATATGCAGACGACATGAAGCTCTTTATGGAAATAAGTAATTCTAGCGATGCAGAAGAATTCCAGAATAAAATCAATATATTCCACACCTGGTGTAGTAAAAGTCTACTTCAACTGAACGTAAAAAAATGTACTGCAATAGCATTTAGTAGAAAAATTGAAACACCGCATATTGAAATATCATTAGGCAACCAAATAGTAGAAAAAAGCAAAATTGTAAGAGACCTAGGTGTAATCCTAGACTCCAAACTAACTTTTATAGAACATTATAATACTATCATTAGTAAAGCAAACAGAATGCTAGGCTTCATCAAAAGGTTCAGTCATAATTTCGAAGACCCATACACTATTAAGCTTTTATATACCACATATGTAAGGCCAATTCTGGAATACTGCCACCTAGTATGGAATCCATACATTTCCATACACGAAGAACGCATAGAATCTGTCCAAAAACAATTCCTTTTATATGCTTTACGTAAATTGAATTGGACTGCATTTCCATTACCATCTTATGAAGCGCGCTGCATGCTCATCAATATACAAACACTTAAGGAGCGCCGCCAATTTGCAATGCTTTTCTTCATCAACGACATTATTTCAATGCGCATAGATTCGGCAGAAATTTTCGCACAATTAAATTTTTACACACCTTGTCGATATCTTAGAACACGGAATTTATTTTCAGAAACATCGTACAGAACAAACTATGCAAAAAATAGCCCAATCAATCGAATGATGCGCCTATATAATTTGCATTGTGGAACTATTGACATCACTATGTCCAAGCAGCAAATAAAAACTAAGCTAAAACAGAATAGAATTAATGCATAGTATGGAAGTAAACATTGTAATAATCATTGTATGTAGTCTACACTGGCTTGACGAAATGGAAATAAATCTGCGCTTTATATATAATTTACCTCTACTCCACCGAGGGTTTCTCGAAACAAGATTCGAACTCATGATCCCGGATTGCCAGCCGCTTCTGTTTCCATCTGCTCTATTCTTGAATACATATTTTGATCATATGAGAGAAGTATATGAAGCTCATCTTGAGTGACTTCTCTTGCAGTCGAATAATCATTGCCTTACGGTCATATAAACGTGCCTATCACTTGTGCTATTTTAGCAACAAAATTGTGGTTGGTGGTTGGTCGAACGTAAACAATCATTTAAGAGTGCTCCAAGCAGCTTTTGAAGCGTTTAACCAAAAAGGCAATACAACTACATTCTTGTACAACTCTGGAAGCTATTATTCAACGTTTGATCAACTCAGGTGTTTTATAAGAGCTTCCAATGGTTTGTTTTGATGCGTTTATTCCACATCCTATATGGCTCCTGTCAAACAGTTTAACCGAACGTAAACAATCATTTAAGAGTGCTCCAAGCAGTTTTTGAAGCTTTTAACCAAATGGCATTACAACTACATTCTTGTACAACTCTGGAAGCTATTATTCAACGTTTGATCAACTCAGGTGTTTTATAAGAGCTCCCAATGGTTTGTTTTGATGCGTTTATTCCACGTACTACATAGCTCTTGTCAATCGGTTTAACTAAGGTGCTATAAAAGTTATCGTAGGTCTTATAAAGCATATAGGTAAACCGAACGTAAACAATCATTTAATAGTGCTCCAAGCAGCTTTTGAAGCGTTTAACCAAAAAGGCAATACAACTACATTCTTGTACAACTCTGGAAGCTATTATTCAACGTTTGATCAACTCAGGTGTTTTATAAGAGCTCCCAATGGTTTGTTTTGATGCGTTTATTCCACATCCTATATGGCTCCTGTCAAACAGTTTAACCGAACGTAAACAATCATTTAAGAGTGCTCCAAGCAGTTTTTGAAGCTTTTAACCAAATGGCAATACAGCTACATTCTTGTACAACTCTGGAAGCTATTATTCAACGTTTGATCAACTCAGGTGTTTTATAAGAGCTCCCAATGGTTTGTTTTGATGCGTTTATTCCACGTTCTACATAGCTCTTGTCAATTGGTTTAACTAAGGTGCTATAAAAGTTCTCGTAGGTCTTATAAAGCATATAGTTAAACCGAACGTAAACAATCATTTAAGAGTGCTCCAACAGCTTTTAAAACTTTTAATCAAATGGCAATACAACTACATTCTTGTACAACTCTGGAAGCTATTATTCAACGTTTGATTAACTCAGGTGTTTTATAAGAGCTCCCCGAATAGAAATATACCATAAGCTGAAAGATCACTATTATTAATTATTCATTCCTGTTATAATTACCATAAGATAAACAATCCGTGAATAATGGGATGGTATGGCCAAAAAATATTTCAACCATATATAACAATAAACGGAGCATTCTAGATATGGTAATGATTCCCTGAATATGAAATATATAGTATTATGTAGTTTTTCTCAAGATTTATGTACCATATGATATGACAAATTTATTTTTTCGTTTATATATGACGGCTAGCTCCAACTCGGGTTAATACTGGCTCTGATTGAAGAATCGGTCAAATGTTTGCTGAAGATTGTATTATTTAAAATCGACGTCGATAACAAAACAGCTCGACATTTCTGATCGGGTTTTAATCCGAGGATAATACTGGTGCCCAATTGAATGACAATAATAATTGTATTGGCATTATTAAAGTCAAATACATAAATGCCAGCAGAAAAGATAACGTATATAATTCATTCCGCAAAATATGTTGAATTACATATGTTATCTTTTTTTTTCTAGTGTGTGTACACTTTTCTAAAATATTATCACTATACATCTGCATTTCAGCGGTAACATTTGAAAACGGCACAAAAACTTTTGTAAACAAAAGTTGTAAGGCCCTTCACATGCGAACCAAACTACGCCCACGCAAACCAATACAACTATAGGAAAGAGGAAAATTTTCCCCATCCGATGATGTTGTTGGTTTACGTGTGCGTACTTGGGTTCGCGTGTTAAAGGCCTTACAACTTTTGTTTACAAAAGCTTTTGTGCCGTTATCAAATGTTACGCCTGATTTTATAATCCTCCCTTTGATTGCCTTGAATTCTGTTACAACTACTACCTTACATGAGTATCATCCCACTGTACATGGAGTATAACGGTTATGGTTGAAGTGCATGTCACATACACTATTACACAATTTTGTGTACAAATGTTTCAGTGTGTTAGTAACACATCAAAGAAATTTGGCATCACGGCTGACGACACGGTCTTATTTTTTCGACGCGTGAAGTGAAAAGTCGCGTTTCCATCGTCGTCGGCGTTCAGAAAAAAAATTCAAAGATGAACCAAAAACCTCATCCGAAGCGAGGAACACAACTCAGAGCCAAGCAACCGCAGCGAGGTAAGCAATAATTTAATATTTTTAATCAATATAGTCTGTTTCATCGTAAAACAAAACGATGAAACAGTCGCCATTGGAATTCCTTTGGCCACGATTTTTGCGCGTTTTGCCTGCAGAAACAGACTGAAAATGTTTTTTTCATTTATAGAAAACCCACCTTCGAAACGCCCAAAACGGAGGCAGAATTTGGAGGTTAATACTGCCACCGAGCTGAATCGACAGGACATAAAGGATAAGGTTAGTGATTCACCTTTTTATTTTTTTATAAGGTTTGAAAATTATAACTAGGGTTAATGCATATAATTTTAGATAGAGCTGGAATTAGGGCGTAACAGCTCTCGATTATTTCTCGAAAGTCATGGTTGTTGCTGGAAAATCAACATCACCAACGAGTATGGGAAGAGTTCCCCTATCCGATGGATATGTTGGTTTGTATGGCCGTGTCTTAAGTTCCTATAAATCAACGAGAGAAGTCATTGTTTAGAAAGGTTGATACGCCTTAATTATAGCTCTATCTAGAATTATAGTCGTGGGTCCGATTGGAATATAAAACAAAATTATTTATTCACTTCAACTAATTCAAGTTGAACATTGCGTTAGGTCCTAAGTAATATTGACAGATTATATTTGTCGACTTTCTCTTTGCATCCCCACGGCCATGTAAATACTTTCCAAGCTATGTTCAGCAAACAGATCGATAAAACTTTCGATTTTACTCTTTTTCTGTACGTTATAAATAGTGTCGGAAGTATTGCACGATTATAGCGCACTATTCCTGACATTGTGTATAAGTACATATAAATGGAGAATAAAATCAACTGTCACTAGTATATTTTTCCGGTTTTCAACTGTACCGATATTTATTAAGTAACCCATACGTGCCAAACCTTTTCCGCCTAAAGAATCAATCTTGGCTCTAATTTCGTCATTATTAGACCAACTTTGATAAAAAAAAACTTCCAATCGATCGGGAATTGTCTCTTGTTTTAGATTTTGTGATGGTTATGCTTCATTCTTGTTTGTTGTTTTTTTAATCGATTTGAAACCAAGAATTAAAAAACAATTAAATAAGGAAAAATAAGCTAAATCAATATAAATTAGAGGTAACAAGAGATGATTTCCATTCGATTGGATGCTGTTTAATCGAAGTCGGTCTATAAATGACGAAGCTGAAAAGGTTGGGTACGCATGTGTTAAGAAAGAATTGCTTGAATGGATCATCAGACTAATATAATTTTTTAATGTTTATCCACAGATAAAGTTGCTGAAAGAACCGCTATTCGGGTAGGCCCTGAGAATGCCGCTACAAATCGAACGGCCTCGGACGAAAGAACCATCAAACGCTTTATCGCGCAAAAGATCTCCAATTTGAAGAAAGTGTGCAGAAATTAATCTGCATTTAATTTAATTTTACTCATCTTACTTGGTTTTTTTTAACGAGAATCTCGATGGTTTTTTAACTTGTTTTTGTTATATATTTTTTTTCTATGTTTATCATAAAAAACCGCACAAAAAGCAGAAAATAAAGCTAAAATCAATTTCAATAATGTTATTTTTTTATTTTATTTGGGTTGAAAGATTGTTATAATTATTATTGATTACTTTCCGATAATTATAACGGGTATCGTCATGATTATAAATTCCTTATAATATTACTGTCCCAAAATTATACCCGTTATAGTTTTGTTATTATATATTATTATTCAATAGTAATAACGGATATAGCCACGGTACATACACATTTCTTATAATTTTACCAGTATGGAACGATATATGTTATAATATAACAGAAGAAAATAAGATTATACAACGATTGTTTCCTGAATACTTTCGCGAACATTTTGTTCGAAAAAAAGTGGTTTTTTGAATGGTAACTATACTTAACGACCTATTAAGGTAATGGTAACATCTTGTTTTATCATAACATTTATCATCGATATGATCCATTTTATCTTAGGTTTACAGTTACTGCAAGATAACATGTATCATCATATTATTTACTTGAATAATCATAAAATGATAAATGGTATAATAGCTTTATAATACATGTTTATTCGGGTCTCAATTGTTTGTTGGGTAGTTACATGGGTCTCCCCCAGGGCTCATGTTTAAGCACCCTTCTTTATAATTTTTATGTTAAGGGGAAGTTCACCGCTTCGAAAAAAATAATTACGTTTTGATTTTTCTAAAAATATTGAAAAAAAAAGTATCAAAAATCTAAAAAAATCACATTTTTTCTAATTTTTTAAAGAAAATTCACGTGCAAAAACATGTTTTATAAGTCATTATGGCATAAAGTTGGACTCAAAAAACCACAAAACATCAACTTTTCGGTTTTTCTGAGAGTCCAATTTTTTTTCATGATGGGATAGAAAATTTTTTTTTGCATGTAATTTTTCACAAAAATCTAAGGAAGAAACTGATTTTCTTGGATTTTTGATAATTTTTCCCAATATTTTTAGAAAAATAAAAACGTACCGAAATTTTTTTTTTATTTTTGGGCCGGTGAGCTTCCCCTTAAAGACATCCCGAATAGAAATTGTAATGTAGAAAACATCAGCAGACACCTTCAATACATTAAATTTTAACGTATATTGCTGTACCCTTAATGTATTCAGACTTCAGTGTGACGTCCAAGTACATAAAAAATACATTAGCCTCTAACGTTACATCAGAATCAAACGTCTTGACGATGTAAAATTTGACATCAGAATACACCCAATGACAACAGAACCTAACGTTACATTAGAATCAAACTTCATCACGATGTAATTTGTTGCACGCATAAAACATCAGAATACATCCAATGACAACCGAACCTAACGTTACATTAGAATCAAACTTCATAACGATGTAAATTGTTGCACGCATAAAACATCAGAATACATCCAATGACAACAGAACCTAACGTTACATTAGAATCAAACTTCATCACGATGTAAATTGTGGCACGCATAAAACATTAGAATACATCCTATGACACAACAATAAAAAGTGGCTTGCAGTGCAGTGATGCCTCCTATGCATAGTTTTGTGACATTATCAATTGCAAATAAAATTGAACTCTTTAGAAGAGTGGAAACGCTAATAAAAGTGCACTTAGACGTTGTATCGTCTTGACGCCTTCAGCGCACTTATTCTTCATTCAACAACAATTTAACGTAAAACCACAGACAAACAGACGTAACTCTTTGAAAAACTTGTTCTTGAAAACATAGTATCTCAAAACATATAACCTCAGTAACGACATCTCTCTTGCTTCTCGCAGAAAACAAGCTTGCTCGCTAACTCTTAAACAATATTGCATAAAAGTTCTATAGAATATATAGAAACGTCAAAGTGATCCGATGCCAGCGCTGCGGCTAGTAGTTCGCGGAACTGATAATATTCAAATCAACCGTTAATTGCATGAACGAAGATTAACAATGAAGAGTTACGTCTGTTTGTCTGTGGTAAAACCGCACTTTTATTAGTGATTTCCGCATTCATAATCTCATAAATGTGCCCAAATCGCAATCCTCGACGCAATCATATAAAATAGCACATTGCGATTACAAGGTAGACCTTACCACCATTAACTCTTGCATGACTGACATAGCCTCAAATCACTGAAAGAAATTTTGGCATGCCCTGTGGGCAATGTTTATTTGTAAGTAAAACAAATGCCCTGGTGACGTTGCAGTGCAAGAGTTAATTAGTGTTTTAATTGATTATTATCGTTTCAATTGAAAACCGATTTTACTTTTGTTCTGTACGTTAAACATAACGTTGGCCATTGTGTGCTGAATACCGCATCCGTGTACGAATACAGCACACTATGTCCGACGTTATGTTTAACGTATATACAGAACGTTTTCAACGAGGTTTTCATTTGAAACGATAATATTAATTCCAAGGCAAACGAAGAAAATCATCTGGCCACCCTGCATGCATATGGTTATAGTCCATTCCTCGGTCCATTCTATTCGTTCGAGTATTTATGGTCCGAATGTGAGGATAACAATAACAAACCAGCATATCTGGCTGAAGCGAAAGTGAGGATAACAAACTTCGCACTTGAAAATGGGATTGCGCAAGTGTGCGTGTTTTGAACGACAGAAAGGTCAATGTCGTTCTCATTTTGAAGTAAAGCTCTATACATCGCTGCTGCATTAGCGTATACCAAAATTATTCAGGGTGTAGGTGTCAGATGGACGTTCCATTACAAACCACTGATGTTGACCTGTCAATGACTCGCGTTATTTGGCGTTTATTAGCTGAATCGCAAAAAGAAAACTAGAGTCCCTGAGGCCCTCGGCGCATGCAAAGTTTGTTTTGTCCTGAGTCAGCACTACACGGCGAATGAGAATGACCCAAATTTGAGTTTAGTTCACTCATAAATCGCAAAAAGTACAGGAACTCAGTTTTGAGTTAATTTCGCTCTCTTTTTTCCAGGATTTCCAGGTTTTTCCAGGAAAATTTGTCCGAATATTAGAAAAGTAAAGATTGGATTCTGTGGATTTTCGTCAATCCTAATTTTCCGGAAGATTTTTGAGGTTTTCCACAGGAAAACATGAGGCAAATCTCGAGGCAAATTTACTCATCGCTGCGTTCCTGCACTTTTTGCGATTTTGAGTACACTGTATTCAAATTTGGGTTGATCACATTGGCCGTGTACAGTTTTTTTTTCGCGGTGTTAAAAGATCGATTTCGATCGAATTAGTCCGGGAAAGTGCCGTTGTGTCCGTCGCGAGTTTTGGTGGCGATTCGGTGTCCGACGTTGCGGTTAATCAGCAAGTTTTCCGCTTGCTGGCTGCTGGTCTCACCCTAGGAAAAGGAAGGCTGTTTTTCAGGTATGTGGGCTGTTTTTGAGGTGAATTAATGTAATGTAATTATGTTTTTTTTTAGGAAAGTGCACCAGTCCGGAGCCACATACCGGTAGCGAGTCCGAAGCTGGATCCCGGCGGAAAGTTCGATGCCGGATCTCTTTGCAGGTTAGTGAATGTGTTTACTGTTTTTTTGTTTTGATTGACGAATAAATAAATACTAAAAGCTACGGATCCCGATGACGGGTTCCGTAGGTGGATCCCGATGACGGGTTCCGTAAACGGATCCCGATGACGGGTTCCATAGACAGATCCCGATGGGGAAACCGAATACGGATTCCGATGGGGAAACCGAATACGGATCCCGATGGGGAAACCAAATACGGATCCCGATGGGGATTCCGTAGACGGATCCCGATGGGGAAACCGAAAACGGATCCCGATGGGGAAACCGAATACGAATCTTGATTGGGAAACTGAATACGTATCCTGATGGGGAAGCCGAATACGGATCCCGATGGGGAAACCGAATACGAATCCCGTTGGGGAAACCGAATACGGATCTTGATTGGGAAACTGAATACGTATCCTGATGGGGAAACCGAATACGGATCCCGATGGGGATTCCGTAGACGGATCCCGATGGGGAAACCGAATACGGATCCCGATGGGGAAACCAAATACGGATCCCGATGGGGATTCCGTAGACGGATCCCGATGGGGAAACCGAATACGGATCCCGATGGGGAAACCGAATACGAATCTTGATTGGGAAACTGAATACGTATCCTGATGGGGAAGCCGAATACGGATCCCGATGGGGAAACCAAATACGGATCCCGATGGGAATTCCGTAGACGGATCCCGATGGGGAAACCGAATACGAATCCCGTTGGGGAAACCGAATACGGATCTTGATTGGGAAACTGAATACGTATCCTGATGGGGAAGCCGAATACGGATCCCGATGGGGAAACCAAATACGGATCCCGATGGGAATTCCGTAGACGGATCCCGATGGGGAAACCGAATACGAATCCCGTTGGGGAAACCGAATACGGATCTTGATTGGGAAACTGAATACGTATCCTGATGGGGAAACCGAATACGGATCCCGATGGGGAAACCGAATACGGATCCCGATGGGGAAACCAAATACGGATCCCGATGGGAATTCCGTAGACGGATCCCGATGGGTAAACCGAATACGAATCCCGTTGGGGAAACCGAATACGGATCTTGATTGGGAAACTGAATACGTATCCTGATGGGGAAACCGAATACGGATCCCGATGGGGAAACCGAATACGGATCTTGATGGGGAAACTGAATACGTATCCTGATGGGGAAACCGAATACGGGTCTTGATGGGGATTCCGTAGACGGATCCCGATGGGGAAACCGAATACGGATCCCGATGGGGAAACCGAATACGGATCCCGATGGGGAAACCTAATACGGGTCTTGATGGGGATTCCGTAGTCGGGGAAACTGAATACATATCCTGATGGGGAAACCGAATACGGATCCCGATTGGGATTCTGTAGATGGATCCCGATGGGGAAACCGAATACGTATCCTGATGGGGAAACCGAATACGGATCCCGATGGGGAAACCGAATACGGGTCTTGATGGGGAAACCGAATACGGGTCTTGATGGGGATTCCGT